ATCAAGGCTGGACCCCGACATAGGACCTCGACATATTAGATACATCTTGTTAAGCGCCATCAAGTCCATTCAACTCACAGTGACCCTATACAGGGTTTCCTAGGAATCACTGATGGGTTTGAGCCACTGGGCATGCAATTAGCAGCCCAGTGCTTATCCTACAGTGACAAACCAGGACTCCTATCAGATACTAGGTTTAATAGGCAACAACAACAACAATTTTTTGTTGTCATCAACTCATGGCTACCCCAGGTGTGTCAATTGTATTCCCTAGCATTTCCAATGGCTTATTTTTCAAAGTTGATTGATGTTGTTGTTAGGTACCATTGAGTAGGTTCTGAGTCATAACAACACTATGCACAAAAGAATGAAACACTTCTTGGTCCTGCACCATCCTTATAATTGTTATGTTTGAACCCATCATTGCTGCCACTGTATCAATACATCTAGTTGGAGGTCTTCTTCTTTTTCTCAGATGCTTCTACTTTTCCAAGGATGATGCCTTTCTACAGGGACAGGTCCCACCTGTCCAAAGTATGAGAGAGGAAATCTCGCCACCCTCACTTCTTAGGAGCATTCTGGCTATACTTCTTCAAAGACAGATTTGCTTATTTTTCTGCGAGTCAATGGGACTTTCAATATTCTTCTCCACACCAACTCAAATGCATCAATTCTTCTCCAGTATTCCTTATTTATTGTCCAAGTTTCACATGCATATGAGGCTATTGAAATGACCCATGGCTTGGTCAGGGCAACCTCAGTCCTCAAACTGACATCTTTGCTCTTGAATACTTTAAAGAGGTCTTGTGCAGCAGATTTGACTAATGCAACACATCATTTGGTATCTTGACTGTGACTTCCATGAGCATTGATGTGGAGCTAAGAGAACTGAAGGCTTTGACAACTTCAATCTTTTCTCCATTTATCAGGATGCCATTTATTGGTTCCATTGCGAGGATTTTCAATCACTTTACACTGAGGTATAATCCATATTCAAGACTGTAGTCATTGATCTTTATCAGTGACTGTTTTGAAACCACTTCACTTTCAGCAAATGAAGTTGTATAATCTGCATATTGTAGGTTGTTAAGGACACTCTCCAATCCTGATGTCACATTCTTCTTCAAATAATCCAGTTTTTCTGATTATTTGCTCAGCATACAGACTGAATAAACATGGCAAAAGAATACTACCCTGATGTATACCTTTCCTGATTTTAAATCATTCAGTCTTCCCTTGTTCTATTTGAGCAACTGCTTCTTAGTGTATGTACAGGTTCCTCATGAGCACAATCAAGTGTTCTGGAATATTCATAAGAATAATATTCTTGGCAATAATATCCATAGTTATGATCCACACAGTTGTCTATCTTTGCATAGTCAATAAAGCACAAGGAAACATCTTTCTTGCATTCTCTGCTTTCAGCCAAGATCCATCTGACATCAACAATGATATCCCTGATTACACATCCTCTTCTGATTCCATCTTGAATTTCTGGCAGCTCCTTGTTGATGTACTACTGCAATCATTTTTGAATTATCATCAGCAAACTTTTACATGCATATGATATTAACGATATTGTTCAATGATTTCCACATTCTGTTGGATTACCTTTCTTTAGAATGGGCTCTTATAATTGATTGGCTAGGTAGCTGTCTTCAAATTTCTTGGCATAAAAGAGAGAGTGCCTTCAATGCTGCATCAGTTTGCTGACAGATTTCAATTTGTGCTCTGTCAATTCTGGACCCTTGTTTTTTGCCAATGCCTTCAGTGCTGCTGAATTTCTTCCTTCAATACCATTGGTTATTGATCACATTGGTAACTCTTGAAATAGCTGAACATGAACTAAATTTTTTTGGTACCATGATTTTGTACATTCCTTCCACCTTCTTTTGATGTTTCCAGCATTATCCAATATTTTGTCTATAGAATCGTTCAATATTTCAAGTCAAGACTCAATTTTTTTTTTTTTTTTTCAGTTCGTTCAGCTTGAGAAATGATGTGTTCTGCCCTTTTGGTTTCCTAACTCCATGTCTTTACACATTTCATTATAGTACTTGGCTCTGTTTTCTTGAGCTATCCTTTGAATTTTTCTGTTCAGCTCTTTTACTTCCTCATTTCTTCAAGTCACTGTATCTTCTTTAGGCACAAGAGTAAGTTTCAGAATCTCTTCTTACATTTGCTTTGATCTTTTCTTTCTTTTCTGACTTTTAAATAATTTTTTGCTGTCTTTATGTATGATGTTCTTGATGTCATCTCACAACTCTTCTAGTCTTCAGTCATTAGTGTCTAGTATATCAAGTCTGTGCTTAAGATGATCTCTAAATTCTTGTGGGATATACTCAATATCATACTTTGGCTCTCGTGGACTTGTTTCAATTTTCTTCAGCTTCAGCTTGACCTGCATATAAGCAACTGATGGTCTATTGTTTTGGCTGACATTGAGCTTCTCCATAATCTCTTCCCACAGAGGTAGTCAATTTGATTCCTATGTATTCCATTGGGTGAGGTCCATGTGTATGCTACCTTTTATGTTTTTGAGAAAAGGTTTTTGCAATGAAGAAGTCATTGGTCTTACAAAATTCTATCATGTGATCTCCAGCATTGTTTCTATCACCAAGGCCTTATTTTCCAACAACTGATCCTTCCTCTTTGTTTCCAAACTTTGCATTCCAATCACCAGTAATTATCAGCACATCGTGATTGCATGTTTGATTGATTTCAGACTGAAGAAGCTGGCAGACATTTTCAGTTTCATCTTCATTACTTTTAGTGAGTCGTGCATAAATCTGAATTATCGTGGTATTAAGTGATCTTCCTTATAGACATATGGATATTATTCTATGATAGACAGCACTGAACTTCAAGATACATCTTGAAATGTTCTTTTGATGATGTATGCCAGAATATTCCTCTTCAATTTGTTGTTCCTGGCATAGTAAGCTATATATGATTGTCAGATTCAAAACAGTCAATACCTGTTCATTTCAGCTCACGAATGCCTAGGATATGATCTTTATGTGTTCGATTTCATTCTTGACAACTTCCAATTTTTCTAGAATTCATACTTCATACATTCAACATTTGATTATTAATGGATGTTTGTAGCTGTTTCTCCTCATTTTGAGTTGTGCCCCATCAGTAAATGTGGGTCTCAAAAGCTTAACTCCATCCATATCATTATGGTCAACTCTACTTTCAGGAAGCAATCATAAGGTTTTCAGTGGCTAGCCATTCAGAAGTGATATGCCTCTCCTTATTCCTTCCTCCTACTCTGGTAGCGTAGTGGTTATGAATTGGGCTGTGCACCTCAAGGTCAGCAGTTTGAAACTACCAGCTGTTCCGCGGGAGAAAGATGAGGCTTTCTGCTCCTGTAAAGATTTAAAGCCTCGGCAAGAAGTAACAGCTTACAAGCTTCCAAAAGGGAACCTAGAATCACAGGGCATGGAGGAAGGTAGAATCTCCACTGAGTAGTATCCAATCTGTCTAGGTGGGGCTGATGAAAGGAAATGTGGATACGTGTCTCTTGTGATACAATAGTGAATAACTGTTATCAGGATTGATTGTGAGGGTCGGGAATGTAAAGATAGACGTTTTTGTAGCAAGGAGGGGAGTGATTAACTTTGCAGTCTAGGAGCAGAGGTCCCTGGGACCATATAGAGAGAAGAGCAGAGAGCGGGACCCTACCCAGAGAAGCAGTGATGCCTGAGATGGAGGCAGAGACAATGACGTGGAGAGATGGAGCAGCTGGGGACTTTAGACCCAGAGAGGGAGAGGGGCTGTGTGCTGATGACCTGGGGGCAGGCTTATAGGGTTAGTTGATAATGCATGGAGGGGATTGTAACCATAGCAATGAAACGATATACGATAGGATGAATGTAAAACTAATGTTCTCCCATGTAAATTATCACATAATTCACAATAAAACATTAAAAAAAAAAAAACATTTACAGCCTCGAAAACCCTGTACAGGGTCGCTATGAGTCATAACCAACTCCACAGCACATAACAACAACAACAACTCTGTTTTAATCTGGAAACTCCACTGAAATCTGTCCACCATCAGCGACCCTGCTGGCATTTAAAATACTAGAGGCATAGCTTGCAGCATTGCAACAACACACAATTCACCACAGCATGACAAACTGGCCGAAATAGATTGCCAGGCACCCTTAGCTGGACTGGGAACCTCCAACCTTTAGGCTAGCAGCTGAGTGTGTTAATCATTTGAGCCACTCAGGAACTCTTTCAATGTGCAGCTGATCCTGTTTTCTAATCATTACTATAGAAACATCTTCAATTCAATTAATGTGAAAACATAGTTCTCATCCTTCTTGCTTTTCCATTTAAGACTGCTGTATACAGATATCACAATCAACTGCAGCAGTCTCAGCCAGGCACCACAATAAGACAGAGGGTCCTAAAGGAGAAAGACACTCTCTCTCCCAGTGTCTCCTTCTTAAGGTGGAAAAAGTTCCTCAGAAGACTCTTGATGCCTCTAAATCCTGGATTACATGTCCATTTGTGAACCAATCACTAAAAAAGTGATTTTAAAAAATTTTTTTTATGGGATTACGTTTATAAGCTTGGAGTAATCATTTGGTATGGCATCTTTTTGGGAGAATTGACCATACATATGGAGTCCTGGTGTGGCGCTGTGGGCTAATGCATCAGACTGCAAAGTCATTAGAACTTTAAGGTTGGTAGTTCAAGCTCACCAGCTGCTCCTTGGAAACTCTATACAAGGTTGCTATGGGTTAGAATCGATTCGATGACACTTACCAACAACAATTGTTACAGTGGAGATATGGGCACAAGATGGCTGAAACCTCTCTCATGTTGAATTAAATATGTATCTCTGTCCTTTATTATCTCAGTAAGATGCAGATTTTTTTTTTTTCTACTTTCAATGACAAGAAATAAAGCAACTGGAAAATGATCAAGTCATATCATTCTAGTTCGGTATGCCATGTAGCTCATGTACTTCAAAGAAAACTTACCAAAATCTACTAGTTTAACTCCACCTTCAGTAGTCAACAGGATGTTATTTCCTTTTACATCACGGTGGATAGTTTTGTTGTTATGCAAATGTTGAAGTCCCTAGATGTTGGAACATAAATTATGACTTTTAAACAAATCATTGAACAAGAAACATGGTTTTTCAGATAGATACGTTTATACAAAATCTTTAGAAAACATGGTAAAGTTAACATTTAAACATTTTGGAATATTTCATATTGTCAGCCAAATCAAAGTATACCATATAAAAACTCATAAAGCCAGAGCTTTTATCAAATATTTTATGAAATGTTGATCTCAACAAAAAAAACATTCCATATAATTATATAGTAAATAAAATAATGGCAAATGAAAAACTAAATAGTAGCAAAAATACACATTATCTCTCTCTGTCACTAACACAACTTCAGAAACACTCCTAAGAGTGCAGAAATAGGGTTCTGTTGATACAAGGAGGGTAGATTTCTAATGGAAAAAGGAATTAGCTATGTTAAGCACCTCATATTTTGCATGTTCTTATGCACAATAAATATTAATGTAGTTCTATTTTCCTAAAAATAGGATCCGCATTTTTTATTTCATTAGAACTGCCTCAAAATTAATGCGCAATTTAAATTGCCTTTACCTTGAGAGCTTCATGTAAAATATAGGCAATTATGGGCTCACTCATTCTTTCGCCCCTCTTCAGAAATCCTTTCACAAGATCAGTCACTGAGCCTCCATTGCACAGCTATAAAACAATTATTTCAAGTTGGGTATTAAAATGGGCATGACATATTAATTCTCGCTATGAAAGGTTTTCCGTGAAGCATTTTTTAAAAGGAGTTTCAATTTGCTGTTTCAAATGATAACACCCATCATCTTTATAGTTACATAAATGAAATGAACATGTACATTTTTACTTGTAAATAACCAGTATCGGGACACAGTTTTCCTTTCAAATAAAAATTTAGAATAGAAAAAAGGCACTAAGAGGGTAAGAGTTATATTATTCCCAAATTTTAGGATCTAGGGATTCACTGCACTACTGATTTCTTTTTTATTCTTTGCGTTGCTGTAAGTATATATCTATATGTAATACAAAATTAGCAATTCAATGTTTTTCATGTATCTGATGTAGACATACCAATTACTTTAATCATGTTGTATAACCATAACCAATACTCACTGAAAAATGTCCCATCACCATTAATACTCAATGCTTCCTACACAGTGACTATTTACCTTCTCTCTCCTGACCCTGGCAACCACTAACGAACTTCAATCTCTGTAAACTTGCCCATTATAAATGTATCGTACAATATTTGTTCTTTTCTGATTGACTGACTTCATTCAGCATGATTTCAAGGTTCAAACATGTAACATTAGGACTCTGTTTCCCTTTACAACTGAATAATACTGCTTTATTGATGTCTGACATTTTAATGCACAGCACAATGGAGTCTTAATGTACAACTATGTATTACTTTATACATGAATTAATTAAAAACATGTCCTTCTCTTGCAAAATTTCAGAGTGCACTGAAGTAAACAGTTTAAAAATATTATTTTAGAATACTATCTGAAAAGCATTTTTCCTAGGCTCTTTAGCCTACACCCATCCGATTCCCCAAATCTGTGAGAATTAAAACAGAAAAACAGAGGAGCATGGTAGGAGACTTTCACACTTGGGCTCTCCAACATTGTTGCTGTTGTTAGTTGGTGTCAAGGTATAGACACTTTATGCACAACAGAACAGAACACTGGTCCTGTGCCACTGTCACAATTGTTGTTATGTTTGAGCCCATTTGACACAATTGTCAATCCATCTTGTTGGGGATCTTGCTTTTCTTATTGGTCCTCCATTTTACCAAATACAGTGTCCTTCTCCAGGGACTGGTCCCTCCTTATAACATGTACAAAGAGCAAAAGTAAAGTCTCTCCATCAATTCTAAGGAGTATTCTGGCTGTACTTTTTCCAAGACAGATTTGTTTGTTCTTCTGGCAGTCAATGGTACTTTCAGTATTCTCCTCCAACACCACAACTCAAATACCATTAATTCTTCTACAGTCTTCCTTATTCACTGTTGAACTTTCACATACATATGAGATGACGCAAAGTATTTTGGCTTGGGTCAGGCATACCTTAGTCCTCAAACTGACATCTTTACACTTTAAAACTTTAAAGACATCTTTTGCAGCAGATTGGCCTAACACATGTCATTTGATTTCCAGACTGCTACTCCAATGGAATCCTGGCATGGTGTTACAGGTTAATGTGCTGGGCTGCAAGGTTGGATTGAAGTGCAAGGTCAGCGGTTCAAGCTCACCAGCCGCACCTTAGAAACCCTATACAGGGTCGCTATGAGTCAGAACCGACTTGATAGCATTTAACAACAAAAACTCCAATGAGCATTGATTGTGGATCCAAGCAAAATGAAGTCTCTGAAAAATTCAATCTTTTCTCCATTTATCATCGCATTATTTATTGATCCAGTTGTGAGGGATATTATTACAGGTATATAACTGACAGATGGATCTTGGCTGAAAGCAGAGAATACCAGAAATAGGTTTGCTTGTGTTTTATTGACTATGAAAAGACATTTGACTGTGTGGATCATAACGAACTATGGATAATATTGGAAAGAAATGAAACCAAGAACACTGAATTGTGTTCATGCTGAACCTGTACAGAGACCAATATGCAGTCGTCCCAACAAAACAAGGGGATACTGCATGGTCTAAAACCAGGAAAGGTGTGTGTGTCGGGGCTGTGTCCTTTCGCCATACTTATTCACTCTGTATGCTGAGCAAATAATCTGAGAAGCTGTACTTTATGAAGAACATGGCATCAAGCTTGAAGGAAGGCTCATTAACAACCTGTTATGAAATGCACACAACCTGGCTTGCTGAAAGCAAAGGACTTGAAGAAGCACTGATGCAGATGAAAGAACCCAGCCTTCAGTATGGGTCACAAAGCAATGTAAAGAAAACAAAAATCGCCAACACTGGACCAATAAGCAACATTATCATAAATGGAGAAAAGATGTAAATTGCCAAGGATTTTTTTTTTAAAGAGGAACATACTATTGGTCTGTGTTAGAACGTCATCTTTAGGGCAAACATAGTAACTCCTTCTCTCCTCTTCTAAGCACCAACTTTAATAATGAAATCTCAGACAACCCAATCACCTGAAGCATTTTCAACTTCATTTGGGAGTAATCCTCAACAAGGACTATAATCTATGTGGATTGAAGATGACAATTACAACACTTTTTTTTAAACTCACAAAGAACACTTTGGGTCTTTATGGGCAATTTGTCAGGTGTACCTGGTGGGTTTCAACCTTAAAACCTGTAGCAGTTCAATGCTTATTCTTCAAGGCCATAACAGGAATCCAAAAATATGTATGTTACTATTGTTCAATGCCTTTTATTGCTGGTTGTTAAGTGCCGTCCAGTCATTTCTGATTCACAGTGATCATACATAGGGTTTCTGAGGAACAGCAAGTGAGTTTGAACTACTGACCTTTTGGTCAAGTGCTTATCTTACAGTGCCACACCAGGACTCAGAGTGCCATATTGTTGTTGTTAGGTGCTATTGAGATGATACCAACTTATAGCGACCCTATACACAACAAAATGAAACACTGCCTGGTCCTGGGCCAATCTCACAATTGTTGCCACACTTGAGCCCATTGATGCTGCCACTTTGCCAATCCATCTGGCTGGGGCTCTTCCTCTTTTTTCTCTGACCCTCCATATGGTATGTATAAATTTCCAAATACCTATAGCTTTTTAAATGTTTAATTTTTGATACCAAGGTTTCATAAAAATCCATGTCCAATTTGGCCATTTACATATCAGCATTGAGTTGCGAATATTTCTTTAATAAAATAGCCAATACCAGGTTGGATTCAATTTAAACAAGAACTATTTGATGCTGTAGGATAAGCAAGGAGTCTTGGTGTGGTGCTGTGGGTTAATGCGCCAGACTGCAAAGCCATTTGAACTGCAAGGTCAGCGGTTCAGGCTCACCAACTACTCCTCGGAAACCCTATACACCTTGGAACAGACTCGACAGCACTTAACAACAACAACTAAAGGATAAGCAAGATTAACAGTTCAAACCCACCAGCCAATTCTCGGAAACCTTATACTGTGATTCACTATGAGTCAGAACCTATTGATGTTGCTTAGAAGCAACAGTATATGTTTGACCCTGAAGGGCCCTGCTCCTGATCTACAAAATGCCATGGCAGCTGCTCTCCAAATGGCACTGAATAAAGTCCTGATTTCTGTCTCCCTGAAAGCATAAGTCTTTATTACACCAAAAGATCCTTCCCCTAGTAGGTTCTGGTTTCAGGAACATCTCCACCTATTGGAAACCCACCAAAACTGTAACTGGGACCGCACAGCCTTAAATATACCAGTCTGTAAGGAACGGGTAGGTTCTTTGTCTCTCTTGACTTTGAGTTCCCACTCCCAGGTTTATTCTTAATAATCCTGCCTGCTGTTTGCTGAAGCCACATTTCTCTCCTTGTCTCTTTCTTTCTTAGTGTTAAGAGCCCTGATAGTGCAGAGGTGAAGCAATCAACTTCTAACCCAAAAGTCAGCTGCTCTGTGGGAGAAAGATGTGGCAGTCTGCTTCTGTGAACATTGTTGTTGTTAAGTGCCATTGGAAGTCCTATAGAGTAGTTCAACTTCATGCTACCGAGTCCCTGTGAGTTAGAATTGATCCTAATGCAACAGGTTTCAGTATAGATATTGGGGATGTGGCACTGTAGGATAAGCACTGGACTGCTAACCACAAGGTTGGCGGTTCAAACCCACTGGTTGCTCCTCGGAAACATTATACAGGGTCGCTATGAGTTGGCAGTTAACAACAACACTTCTGGTTCACAGTTTCACAACATTCCTGGTGAAGGACAGGGCTGTCCCTTACCTCTGTCCAGCACCAACTTCACATAAGCAGCCTTCCTCAGGAGCATTTATCTAATCTGCTTTCAAGATTCATATGTGCCTCACTGTCTCAAGGACAAAAAACAACAACAACAAACCTGAAAGAGAAAGAATGAGTAAAGAGCAAAACCAAAAGCCAAAAGTAATTCTCCTTTATAAACCAAAAGATAAGGGATAAAACTTCAAATAAATTTAAATAGTTAAACGATGCAATAAGAAGTGCAAATATTCTTGAATTAGGTAACAGATGATTAGAAAATAACAAATGACTTTGTTTCTCTTTAAAGAGAATTACATCCAGGTGAATGAGTTACGTTATACTTGGTCGATGCAAACTAGACTAACAGCGGGATTATAATAGGAGACGGAGAAACCTTTAAGTATAGCTTTCTAATACAAAACTATAACAGACCCTTAATGTTCTTTCATCAAAGGAAATTGAAGTACAATCTTCCTAAACTGGAACTACACTAATTATAGAGAAGCACTCAAAAAGAATTCTCTGTCTCCCAGGCTGTAGTCAAGCACTTAAAAAAATAAAACTCAAAACCTAAAAGAATATTTATTCTACAAACACTATTCCAACTAACTTCCCAGTATTACACATTTTCTAAATGTCTTCTGTCTTCAATGTTGTAAATACGTCTATTTCTTTCCTCAGTTCTGTCAGATTTTATTTCATGAGTCCTGGTGTGGTGCTATAGGATAAAGCACTGGACCGTAAAGTTGGTTTGAACCATAAGGTTAATGGTTCAAACTCACCAAGGTTTGAACAGGGTTCAAACTGCTC